TTTTTTCCCCCCCCCCTTGGGGGGGGGGGGGGGGTAGATGGAGAGGCGGATGTGGACAAGGGAGAGAGAGAGAGAGCGATAAAATGTGCCTTAAATCTCCCAACATGTGATTTTACACATATACCCTAAAAACATGGGCCACGTGATATCTCACGTGCATTGTGCAGTTACTTTTTAGACAGCATCTGGCGGAATCACTACATTGCACCATTTTAAATATTTTAGGGTTCGTTTCGTCAAAAAAAAGGTTTGGGGACCAAACTGTCACCTTTTAAAGAGTTTAGGGACCATTCGTGTAATTTACCGTTTTTGTTAGTATACTATTCATTCAATTTAGGAGCTGCCAAACCACAAACAAAAATATTCCCTCGGATTTGAAGAAGGAATGAATAAGAGAATATTTGGTACACAAATAATAGTATCCTTACACGATCAGCAAACAAAAATTATATTATCCTTACTAACCAATTATTACTAGCAAAAGATGAGTGTAGATGGAAACTTTGATACACTTTTCCCTTTTTCTGCTTCCGCAGATAAAGGAAAAGTCCTCTCCCTCTTTCTTTTTTGTAAATCAAAAGAAAGAAAGAATTCCACCATCTTCCTAAGCCCACTCAATTTATTACATTACATATACTACATACGTTTGTTTGTTCTTATTGCATATCAACTACACACGTGCGACTCTAATTTGTATTAATCACCGCAGCCACCATGAATCACGTTCATCATCATTAGAACCGAAAGAGCAAAACTTGAAGAAGAGAACTTCAACTCCAAAATCCGCTACGCCGGCGGCCGCGGCGGCGGCAGCATTGAGCGGCGGAGCAGCTAGAGAGCCACGGCAAAGGGGACATGTCTTGTGTTTAAATTGAACCCATCTTTCTAAGCAGAGCAGGTGAAAAACGTGGGAACATCTCAGCTCTCCTATTTCCTCTCCCTCTTGAACCTGGCCGAGGCAAACCGCGCACTGCTCTGCATTTTCTGCGGAGCATTGCTCTCCTTCCATGGGATTGCGCTCGTACCGGGTTATTCGGATGAGTTCCCCGGTGCCGGTTTTCTGAATGTTGTCGTAGAGGCGATCAGGAGCAGAGAAAGAAAACGGGTTGTAGAGGAGGGTGTCAAAGGCCCATTTCAGGTTGGTTAGAGTTGGAGCCATGTAATTCCATATGGTTAAGGGAAGAGTAGAAGTACTGGTCTTGAGCTTGAGAAAGCTGTCACATAGAAATTGAAGGGAAAAGCAAGTTAGAATGTAGAACATTTGTGAGGGACTCATTTCTTTTTTCCTTATATTGACTTTACTCTTGTGGGAACCCAAGGGTGAGGTATTTATAGACCCGGGGTTGGAGGGAACGTTGGAAATAATGGTGAGAAAATTATTCAACTTATCTTAGAGTTAATGAGTCTGAATTTTTATTTTTTACTTTTTATTAATATTTTTTTTAATTAATATAGTTATTTAATTAAAAAAGATATTAATTAAAAATAAAGCATAAAAATCTAGATTCATATATATTTTAAGAGTTATTTATCTCTTTTTTCCCTTTACACTAGCTAGGTGGGCATTGAACTTACTTTCTAGTAATTTGGTAGAAGAGAGATCTTAAGATCTTAATTTTAGACTTTAGAGTACTTAATGGTAACTATTTTTATCTCGTCATATAAACAGTAATTATGATAAATAATAAATAGTTTATTATTATTTTTATTTTTATTATTATTATTTGGAGAAATTTTTAGTAGGGTATGAAAAAAATACCCTATTGGTAGAAAGAAGATAAATTTTAATTCCAAATCCTATCATAATTATGTCAAATGTAGGAAAGTATTACATAATTAAATGAAGATTTAACTGTTCAAAATTACCTTATCGGTGGAGTACTTATCTATATCTTATCATTGAATTCTTCTTAATCTTTTGCTGTAGAAATACGTAGGGAGGATTGTCTTCACAAATTAAATAGATAAAAAAATAGTTAGGGCACGGGCCCCATAATCCAAAAATTTATTAACTATATGTCAGTGTGTCGTTGTACACGTTTGACGTTAGACAAGCCACACATGTTTCAAGAGTTTCATACGCAGATAACAAAGCATTGGCATACGATGCCAATTTTATTTTATCAAGAAAAAGCATTAGTATGACGAAAGCGGAAAGCTACCTGTATGACCAAATTAACCTTAGCTTTTATCTGTATTTTTGTACAGTGAGTTTATATACGGACAGGAACAATGTCAATTCTGTGAGTATATTTTCGTAAAAATACCAAAAATAGGATTAATTAAGAACCGAGCAACTAAATACTAATTGATCATAATTTCTTTTTTAACAAACTTAATTGATCGTAATGAAATGACACAGAAGAAATAGTAATTAATTTAGTAGCCGAGAATTAATGTCGTATCAATATGTGATCTTTGTTCAGCATGTTTCTTATAATATATACAGTATAAGTGACGTAACACAAGACAATTACTTTAAACACTACACATCTTGCTCTAAGAAATACTCTATTTTTCAAATCAGCTCTTATATGACATATGTGTCAAATTCATAAAGAAAGCTAAATTAAATCTTAAATTACACTTTCAGCTGGAAATTGCTACTTGATTGTATCTGACGTACTTGAGAAATTTTGGAGTAAATTATATTAATATTGCTTCAATTTACCATATGTGCTATAAATTAAGTAATTATATTTTGATCAATTCGAGGGCGATGCACGCAGATGTTTGTGGCTAATATAGAAACATGTCACAGATGTTGATCACCTGTTTAATTTTTAATATTTCAAATGGGGTGTAATTAATCACATTTTGTCAGGTTATTTAATGATTCAAACATTAAAGCATGAAAAAAATTAGTTAATAAGTATTTTAATTTTTTAAACTGATATGCCATAGTTTGATTTGTTAGACACCATTTTAAACACTAAAACTAGACAAGTAATCTGAGTCCGTTGTTAAAATATCTATGTGAGAATATTATTTTCAAGTTCGTGAAACATAATGTGGACTGAGGAACGTATGTTTTTGTTGCAGAATATTATTGAGAGTTGTTCTCAGATGCTACTTGCAACGAATTATAAGTCAAAGCTATTATGCAAAGTTTGTTAGAATTTCTTGAGATGTATATAAGGTCTCTCTGATATAAGAAACTAATTATTGCCATCATATAAGTACTATTCATTCTAAAAGTTCGTGACCTGTAAGCTTCGAACTTAGCAAAATAAAAAATAAATAAAGAAAATTGTAAATAGAAATTGTTTTTAGTAGAACAACTAACCCAAATAGAAATTAGAACCTCTCAAGCAAAATAGCAGAAATTAAAACCTACAGTATATGTGGTTATGAGCTCGTTCAACTAATTACTATATATTTCAGATAAAAAGAATTTCCAAGATGGATAAGCATTTTCCGCCAATTGCGTAAAAATTATTCTTTCACGCGGGCTCTTGAAATTAATAGAAAATATTTTAAATACAATTATCTACGTAAGATCATGTTTTAACATACGCTAGGACAGACGTGTTGACTCATTTACTTTTGTATTTGGACATATTGCAACACATATTCTTAGTTACAGTGTGATAATATATGTTAATTGTCAACCAGAAATAGTAAAATCGTTCCACGGAGTCCAAAAAATTAGTATAAAGAAAAAAGATAAAGAAATATAAAAAATAACTCATCTTGCAATTTTCAACTTCAGAAGATTATAGGAGCACTTGAATTCAGTACGCACTTTGAGGTTTTTTTTTTTTTTTTTTTTGAAAAGAAATTGGGAAATATTATTATTCACAAATAACGTAGTAACGAGCAGCATAACTAGTTAATGTATAGGCTACACAATTCTCTTCACGGGGTGTACAACAAACAGAGCCACGAAAAACTTAGAAAAAGACAGCTCTAGTGTCTTGTAGAATACTGGTTTCAAAAATACTTCTTAAAAAAATTAGTGGTCACTATAGTTACGGCTTCAATTAGAACGTTGAAAAGGCAATTTACACATGATGATAATTTGTCGATAAAAAACACAGTACACAGTCGATAATAATAATAATAATAATAATAAAGTGGTGATCATTCGGAATATATAGTATGACAACCTGATTTAAATTTGATATAAAATTGACATGAAATTAACTCGAATTGATTTAGTTTATCAAAGTTTTAATTAAAAAGAAATAAAATGTATATATATATATATATAATTGGTGAAAAGAATAATTTTAACTAAATTAATCTCAAAATGAAAGAAAAAAATTATACTGTATGTTTGACGAACACAACTCATATTGTTGCCTATATAAATCTACACCTCTAAGTCTTACCAATATATAACTATCTCTTTGCTTAAATATATGTATTTGATACTTCTAAACCATAAACAATGAAAAAAATCACACTCAAGGTCAAAATTAATTGATATATTTCTTTTAAACAATATATATATATATATACATATATTTAACTTTTACAGTACATAGGGCATGTTTAATAACTAGGAATTCAAAATTATAAAAGGAAATTGAGTAGATTTCTGAGTCCGAGTAGAGTGTTTATTTTTTTGGAGGCTTCATTTCTATGTACTCTTTTCCAAAAACAAAACGTGTATGGGACTAATTTTTTCTACTATAAGGTCAGGACAATTTTTTTTTAGCATAATAAGGACCAATGAAGTCTAGGAAAATGTTACACATAAGCATAATTTTTTCTGTAATATTATATCTGATTTGGACGAAATATTAAACATCATTGGGGACTTTACTTCTTTGGTTTGAATGAGTGTGACATATTATATATGCTGCGATATATACAAAAGACTCTGAATGTGAACTCCATGATTTATATATTTCACTTGTCGACGTACGTAATGTTTCAATATGGTTGGACAAGAATCCTTTTTTTGTTAATAAATTGGACAAGAATACGTATGATAAAATATCTCTTCTGTTCCACATAATAATAATAATAATAATAATAATAATAATAATAATAATAATAATAATAATAATGATGATGATAATAATGATAATGAAAATTGAAAGCGATGGAAAAAAAAATAGAAAGAAAGAAAGACGAGATCCATTGACAGTTTCGTAAAACATGCAGGCTTGGGAAGAGGACCACAAAGCTTTATAAGCTTTGTTGGGTACGGAATATTCCTCAACTACTCTAATTTTGTTGCTTTCTGGAAAAAGTCCAGCAACTTAGAAGACACACAATTTCCCTAAATTTCCCATCTTAATTTTCTTTTCTAAATTATTTTCTAAGGAAAATTATAGTAAATATCATATTTTTTAAAACTAAATTAAGTAAATAGTAGATTTTAAAATTATTTGAAGTAAATGTCAGTTTATATGTGTAAATGATTCATTTACGACAGTAAAAAACTAACTTATGTAGTAAAAAAAATTTTGTTTACGTCGGAATTTTTTTTTTTTTTTTACCAATCATAACAGAAAATTTACATGAAAAAATGTTTTTACTAGCCGTAAATGAACCATTTACACGGCAAATGATTCATTTACAACGTAAATTGTGACAATTTATATCAAATAATAATAATAATAATAATAATTGCACACAAACGTAAAAAAAAAAAAAACAAAAAAAAATCTAGACAAAGATAGACCATTGCATCCGATGAAAAAAAAAATCCAGTAATTGTCATGTTGCTAATAAGAACAAAGGAAAACAAAAAAGGGAAACTAGTAATTCGATCCATTAAATTGTGAAATGAACATTGAGAAAACAATTAAAGGGTAGAGATTTTTTTTTTTTTATGAGGGAAATAAAGCCTAGAGAAGTTGGTACAAGTTGTTTAGTTATTATTCCTCCAATTATATATAATCTGCATTCTTCAGAGTCTTTGCTATTAACTTCAGAGCTTTCCTGCGCCTCATCTCTATCCTTGTGCTCTCAGTTCTTCCAATTTTGACATACAGATTTTTACTCCTCAAAGCTCTCAATTTACCCTTCAGATTTCCCATCAACTTGACTAAACCTCTAAACAGTACCATTCTAACTAAAACCTGCAAAAATATTACATAACACATGACATGCATAAATGTTGTAACTAGTCAGATATATATGTTTTCTGATCTTTACATTCGTATATAAATAATAAATTTTAAAATAATTGTTATAGAAAGTTAGAAAAGATGATGAGGAGGTACAATCTACGTGCCGATGGACTGATCAAGAAGAAGAAGAAGATGTTAACAATGTCAAGTGCTTGTACCTCTGGACCCTTTTGTTAAAGCAGATATCATGCAAAATAAAAGTTT